ACAGCTTTTCCATTTGTCTTGTGAGTCTGTCCCACCCTGACCTGGAGAGGTCACCACCTCCAGGTGTGACAGTGCAGTTCATTCTTCATGGCACATCCAGTTCTTGGCACCTCAACTGTGACTGCTACTGAGGGTATCAGTGGCAGTCATTTTTGAATATAGACACTGGATCACTAGGAACTGTGTTGAGACTGCAGTCTCACTTCCCATAAACCAGCAAACAAATCAGGTCATAGCTTTGGTTTCTAACAGCTACGGATTCAGTTCTGAACTCAATGTGAAAGGCTCTATCTAGGCTTGGAAGTTTTATATTTTTATCTTTGTGAAATTAATTGGAAAAAAAATTCAACTATCTTTTACATTTTTATATTTATTATTCTACTATAAGGGAGAAATAGTTGGTGTTGAACATATTTATCTTAATGAAAAGTAGTTAAGATCAGTAACTGAGTCAGAAGCGTAGAGTTGATTTTCATCACATTTCGTGTATAGAAAACGATCTCTTATTAACCTTTCCACCTCAAAATAGTTTAGAATATTTTCTTTTGTTCTTTCCTATTGGGATGGAAGGGAATATGAGAACCTTGCAAATCTGCAAATACCCACTTGATATCCTAGGCAACTGCATCAGCTGATGTGGATACAGGTCTCTGGCTTATTTTTGTGGATTTGGATTCAGGTACACATTTTTTATCTAGAACCCTGCAAATTTGCATATGTCTACATGCATCCGTGGCTCATTTTTGTGGCTACATATGTGGATACAAATTTTTGTATGTATGCAGGACTCTTCTTAATCCTTAGATTTTAATTCTTCCAAGTCATCTTTATCCCAATCCTACCCTTTGAGCCATCTAGTTCCCAGTTAAGCTTTATTAAACACACCAGGATTTCTGTGGTACTATATGACACACTCCATTTTTATCAGTCTCCGTGTTTTCCTAAGATATTGTTAGGAGCTCTACTAAAATATAAGCTTTACACAGTGCTGTTTCTGATGTGTGGTATGAAAACATCTGGCAAAAATAAAAGGAAAACTAAGCTACTGTGTTTAATAAGTATTAGGATCCAAAAGTGCAGTGACTTAAGTTTAATTATAATTAGTGGGGTGTATGAAGTTATTGTTGGTGTTTAATTTTTTTTCTTTTGATGCTGATCAAGTATTAGAGGTGCTATTAAACTCCCAAAATGCTGCAAGCTGGTGCCTAATATCTCAGCATGACTCCTGATTTCAATTTGCAGGTTTTTTCTATGTGGTCACAATTCAGTTATCTTGCTAATATTTTTCTGACTTAAAGCTTGTTTTCCCTTTGAACCAGTGTGATTTTTGTTGTTCAACTGCAAACCTCATTTGACATAACTTTATTTACTGGGAAGCACTGTGATCTAGCTGATGTGGGGGAGACAGCTGGTACCATTTCTAGTTCTGCTGTGACTGTGGGTTCATCATTTTGCTTTTGTTTTGCTAACTGTAAGACAAATGGCACACTATTGTGCAGCACTGAGATTTATGGATGTAAAGCACTTTCATAAAGTGACATTATTTGGCAGAGAACTGTCTTCTATAAAGAACACTGAAGGGATGGGATGAAATCCATTCTGTCACCCCGGTCTTGCTCATCAACCTGAACTCTGCCTTGTGGAATCTGTCAAACCTGATTTGTACAATGAAAGGCCCAGCCTAACCTTAACTCTTAAGTCTTTCTTGGAAACATACAATAAGCTTGGGGATAGAGAAATTTTGAGTGTAAACCAGAAAAGTGGCTATATATTCTTCCACATTCTATCAGCAATGAAATTCATTGTATTTGGTTACTCTTAGCCACACCTGCAGTAGCATATAATAAGAATGAGGCTTTGGATGGATCTCTTTCAGCCAAGGAAAAATTATAAGCTTGCCTTCAAAGGGATGTTGACTGGCAAGAGAAGCTCTGAGGAGCTGTTTCCTGTACCTGTGACATTGCAGAGATGCTTCTGTGGAGGGGGATGAATCTAGATGAACATCCACAGTATTTAATCTGTTTAACTGAAGCAGCTGTCGTGCTTATAGACCTACCCATAGGGTCAAGTAATTAGAATGGACTTGGAGCAGAATGCACAGCCTTCTGACCTTTTTGACTTGCACATACCTGCCTGCTGACCCACAGTACTCACAAAAAAAGTAAATTGCACAGTTCTGAGCTAGTATTCTTAATTGAACCGGACAATTACCCAATCTCAAGAATACTCCTATGATGGATCACTATGAAACAAATGGATCCACTGGAACATTTTAAGATGGTGAGCAAAGTTACATGCTCTGACAGTACCTCAGCTGTTCTTCAGCTGTCTTGCTAGGCATGCTCGCTCATATTTTGGACCTCAGTTGTCATCTTCCTCCCACCCCCAATATATCCCGTTACAGAATATTTTTAGATCATATTTCTTAGGATTCATTAAAAATGAACACTCGGGATTCTTAGTTTAAAAAAAAAAGTGAGGGAATCATTATCCAGTAGCTAGATCAGGGACTTAAGTATATTGGTTCTATTTGTGTTTCTTCCATGAGTTGCTATGTGATCTTGGACTGGTCACTGGACCTCTTGGGACTTAGTCTCCCCATCCCACCTCTTAAACTGGGATTTCACTGTTCTTTATCTATTCCAGTTACCTTGTGGCCTTTGCAGCAGAAGTGCTGGTTATTTACAGAGCACTTACACAGTCCTATAGCTCAGTGGTTTGTTCACCTGGTCTAGCATTAGATTTGCTAGGGACTAGAGCTGAAGCCTCAATCCAGCCACCCAGGACAAAGCTGAAGCCTGAGCCCTGTGTCTTAGGACAAAGTTCAAGGGCTTCAGACCTAGGTAGCAGGGTTCAGCTTCAGCCCTGCATGGAGACTACAGGCCCCTCCACTTGAGGCTGAACCTCTTGGGCTTCAACTTTGGTCCTCCCACCCCAAAGGTTTTGCCTTTGGCCCCTTCTGCCCCTAGCCTGGGGTAGCAGGCTTGAGTGAGCTCATCCTTTGATCCCCCCTCCTGGTGTTATGTAGTCAGGAGACAGCCTGCACAGGCCCCTGGGCAAGGTGTGGGGGGAAGCTGTGTGTGCCTGGAAGGTGCACTGCTCTCTGCATCTCCCCCCATTCCTCATCAGCTTGCCAGAATGAAGTAATTTTTGTTTTTGCAAGCAGTTCACAATCCAGTGAAGTTTGAGAACCCCTGTAGGGAGTGGCAAAGTGAAGCTAACCAGGATTGCATCACTTGCACAGTTCTGCAGCTTCTGACTTGTAAAGGTAGTACACCTGTTCTGAAAGCTGGTCTCCATGGTTGGACTCTTCTGAGGAGCTGAGCTGTAATTTTGTATCCAGACAAAATTTCAGTCTGCATTTGGGTTCAGGTGAGATGGTAATACAGTGCCTGGCCAGGAAAATGTATCCCTTTTCCCTGCGTTACTTGATAATGGATTGTTTGATAAATGGAGTTTATCTGCATAGATTGCCATTACCTGGGCATTTTGATGGTAAGTGTGAGAGTGTTATTGTTGGCTGTTAATACAAATTAGTTCCTATGGTTTAATCTTTTTTCTGAAAGGAGTTTCCACAGTTCTGTGTGTGTGTGTGTGTGTGTGTGTGTGTGTGTGTGATGATGGATGGTGGGGTCCATATGAAGTCTATACAAATGAAAGGAACAGTTAGTTACTGTAAATGGTTCTGTTGTCGGTTCTGTTGATGATTTATCATTGGGCTGTCTTGTGTTTTAGGGGGTAAGAAAAGTAGGAACAAAATAGTGAAGGGGGAAAGCAAGGCATGAATAGTCCTTTCATAACAGACACATTCTTTTCTGGAAAGGTGAAATCAACATAATTTAAAGCAGTTGATATCATTCCTTCACTTCCAGCCCTTCCCAGAAGGAGCCATTGTAGAATGCTGTGGGTGAAGCTTGTGATTATTTCAGCCCTGGTCAATCATGAACAAAAAATTAGTGTGATAGTTCAGGAGATTGCAGGGATTTCAGTCTTGGCCCTCTCTCAGCATGAGATGGTGCAGGGCACTGACTGGGAGAAATTCTGAGTTATTGCGGTTTTGCCTTCATCTGATTTGAAAATAACAAGTGTGTATCTCTAAACTTAACTAAGAGCTTTGGACTCCATGCTGGAGGTTTCATTTAGGTGGATAGTGCAGGTGTGTACAAATCGGCTCTTCTTATCAGAGGGCTTTAATTAAAACCTGTCCGGTTGTATATAATGATAGACATACTTAAAGTTGTGGAGCTGTCCTGAGCAGAAGTTACTCTCGATGTACCGTATTGCATGAAAGGTTTGTTGTTATCATTTGACCTGAGCTAGCTCTGATGCATATGAACTCTAGTGACCAGAGATTGTCAGGGAACCTACTCAACTTCTAGTCTAGTTCTGAATGTTAATTATAAAATAGGTTTAGAAATAACCACCTCTTTGATCAGTCAAAAAATGTTATCAGTATGTGACTTGCCAGCATGTTTCTTTTTTGAAACATGAATTATGCTGCAAAAGAGCAGGGTTTTCTAATTATACATATGGCATCTGAATATGGCACTTAAATAATTAATGTAAAACATACATTTTGCTCATAAGTACTGTATTTTTCCACCGCACCCTAAATTTTTAATTGATGAATCATGCTCGTTTTTGCCCAGGGGTGGTGGTTACACCTGGTGGTTTTGCTGTTAGTTTTACTGACTTGTTCAAAGATAATAGGTCCTATATTGAAATCTCCCCGAGCCCCTCAAGAAAACAAGACCCGAATGACTTCTGATGACCAGTGTTGTGGAATTCTACCAGGAATGTAGTTAGTGATTCATTTTTATCTTGAATCACTTACTGAAATAAGTGTATAAGGAATATTACATAGATTCCTAATTCACATAGCCCGTCTTCAGTTTTACAAATGTTGGCTAGATGCAGTGGTATGGGACTCTGATTGAAAACATTCATTGTCTTCCTGTTTTTCATTGTATATATTTCTCTTTAATATTTTATCTTCACAGGGCAGTTTCTTCCCACTTTTTTCCAGTTGTGATCATTAATCGGGACTGAGTACTTGGCTTATCTGCCCTTGTGTTGTTTTTTTTAGAAACGGGTAAGTTGTATTTGTTTTGCATGTAATATTCATAATTTTTTTTTAAAAGGAACCTGGGAGGGAGGAGGGAAGTTCTATTATGTTGAATCATATTGACACCCACATGGTTCTGTCAGTAGGTCTGGAATTTTTAGATCCACAACACAACAATTTTTTTAGTTAGCAAGCAAAGGAATTCTGACTTGGGAAACATGAATTTGATTCCAGGTTCTTAAGGGGGAATGTGCTCCTGTGTATATGCTTCCCACCTCTGCAGATCATGCTCTGTTTGCATTCAAATCAAGCAGCTTTTTCCTTCATAGCACTTCCTAGGCAGCAGCTGAGGAGGATGGATCAGGGAAAGAACACAGTAACTACGTTCCTGCTCTTAGTTCCAGTGCCCAGCACCAAAGCAGGCTTTAGCAACAAGGAAGAATATATCCAGGAAAAAATCTGCTTAGCCCCTGGAGCCCTAGAATGGAGAATAACTTTGTAACCTCAGGGCAGAGGGAGTGGAATAGTACTTGCACAATTTGATGCATAAGTGCTGTGTGAGGATGGAGCATGCCCATTGAAGGCAAAAATCTTAAGAAATCTTAACTACCAAACACTTAATAAGGCACTCTGTGGATGTGCAAACAGATTTTTTTTTGTATGTGCTTAGAACTTGGTCCAATTTTGGCCAGATGTATGGGGATAACAAAATGCGTAGCCTTTACTCTTGCCAAATTTCAAATCAGTGCCCCAATGCTGTTAGTATTTTTTTTCTCCCCATTTCTATCAAACTTCTTTCTGTTTTTCTCCAATCATCTCCTTCCTTTTCATCCTGTTCCATTTTTCCCCTGTTTGTTTACTCCAACTTTAGAGAGGACAAAGGAAGGTGAAGAGGAGTTGTTACCTTTCTGTGGTTAAATATAAACTGTTGAAGGGTGTAGGACTTCTCTAGGTGGGAGAGTGGGGCAGAAGTGGTCTCTCCCTGGATGTTTGTCTGTGGTGCCACCTACTGGTAGATAATTTCTATAATTTTCCCCAACTTTAAATCTGCTTGAGAGTTAACATTTCTTGGCAATTTGTAGCTTTTGTGGGGAGATTAAACTTCTTTAATTTTTGGAGGATTTGTTGTCTTTTTTTCCCCACTGAAACATCTGATTTACCCATTCGTGGGTTCAGATTATGAAAGGATACTCTACATCCAGGGTAGATGAAACCTCTTTCTGAACTGACATGTTACAAATTTACTCTGTTGTCTTCCAGGTTATTGGTATAAGTCAGGAAGTGAAGGAAATTGGCCCATTGCTTGTTTTTCCTTTCTCAAGCTGACCCACATGAGGGCTTTTTCTGTGGATTCTGAACCAGTCAATCTGTTAGTGCTTTTTTTCCTGTACTGGGTACACCCGTAGATGGGTGTGTGCGTTAGCCCTTGAGAATAATGTGGCATCCATCTAGCCAAGCATAGTATTCTGAAATCTAACCTACTAAGAATCAGTGTTGTTCAATTAAGTCATTACAATAAAGGTCCAAAATCAGTAAGTGGGAGAAGAGAAAAGAAATGTGGGTATAGGACATGTTTCCAGAATGTTTTTAAAAGGTGAATTAATATAAGGGTACAGTGGTTAGTGGGGGAGTAAGGTTCTGGATCTCAGCCTAACCAGCTAAAATGTAATGCATGGATTTCCAAAGCTATCCCACATCTATACTTTTTGAGATCAATTATATGAAGATCAGACTTGTTTCAAACATCATCTTGGTCTGTAGTGTTAAGTATTGTGATCTCCCCTGTGATTACTGCAGTTGGGCTTTACAACCTCCAAATTACTGCAGTTCTGTCTTTTATTATTATTCTTTCTTGTTACTGAGTCCTGGTGGCTTGAATTTACTAATGAGGCAGCAGATATGTTGATTATTAATTTGTGCAATTGCTCAGCTGCACTGCTGTTAGATCCTGTGACCTTATAGTATGACTGATGTGTACAGATTGGAAAAGCTTTGGGACAACAAATGCCACACAAGTGCAAAGCTCATGTTCTACAACCTCAGCTCTCTACAAAACTCTTCCTTTAAAAAGAGCTTTCCAACCATAAATACAAAATGGAATGGGGAAAAAAAATTTCCTCCTTCGAGGATCTCTTAGAGTTCTAAGGTGTGAGGAGCAAGAAGACTGTGAAGCCCACTATGGATCTTGCAGTACAGATCTTACCTGTGCAGTGCTTTGATGCGCACTGCCAAGAGTCCATCCAGATTGAACGTCTAGGTGGAATAATGTGGAGGAAACTTGTGCCTTTGCTGTCTGCTTTTTCACTGGATAAATAGAATTGTATCTGCTTGGCTGTTGATCCAGCATCTTTTACTAGTATTAAATTCACCCCTTTGTCCAGTTATGCAGTGGAGAGTGATTTGGAACCACTTGCACACTTTTTCTTTCTGTTAAATGAATCAGTTAGTTATAGTAAGTGCTTTTACTAGATTGTTGTCCATCTCATGACTGACTTATTTATTCCCCGTTCACTTTCTTTTCACAGCTGAGAACATTGCATGCCAATCAGTGGAATGTGTGTCATTTCAGTACAAAGTAACTGACATTTTTAATGGCAAAACTATTCTACTTTTTTCATAGAAGAAATTATGCTTTTTTAAAGTTACTGGATTGTGATTTTTTTTTTTTTTTTTTTGCCTTCTCCCAAATCTTCTGTTGACTCAATTATAAATGAAGAGGGCATCTCATATTTACTGGTTGCTGGTTTTCAAACGCAGCCATCACCAAAATAGTGCAATACAGAACTTCTCACTGGGAACTTTTTCAAGAGTGTTGGTGAAATTGTAGCTCAGGCTCGCATTATACCAGCACTTGGGCAATACTAAAATCAAGTGGATGATGAGGTCTCTCCCTTCCAGTTACTGCTTAAGTTTGAATAATTAGTGAGTCATCCAGGAATGTCAATATGTAACCTGAACTCTTTCCACACCCTAACTATTTTTCCTTTTAAAAATTATAATTAAGGAAAGAGAGAGATCACATCAGTTGTGCTTTTTTTTTTTTTTTTTTTTTTTTTTTTTAAACTAGCTTGTCTAAACCTGGTGTTTCAAAGTCTTTAGCAATAGTATCTTGGTGTGCAGGAATCACAAAGCTGATAAATCAGCACATGGCCAGATTTAGATTCTGAACAGTGTAAGCCAGCTGCTGAAGGTACTACTGGGGACCAGTCAGCTTGATGCACAGTGTAGAGCAACACCTGGCTTACACCTCCCCAAAGGGATTCCCTGGTAGAGATTAAGTTTCTGTGATGCAGGGGTCTGAAGCTGATGCATAGCAGCATTTAGTTTGCCAGGCTATTTCATGAGTATTATGTGAAACATCTTAATTTTCAGAACAATGTGCAGTTAAGAATGTATTGAATGTTGACTGAATAAACTAGAGAGCAAGTGTGTGTACTCATAATTTTAAACCTTACTCTGTGGGTTGGTAGAAGTGACAGATTATGGTATTTAAGCAATTTCTACCTACTGCTGTGCTTCTGTGGGCATACACAGTGGATTTAAATCTCCAAATGAACAGAAAACATAAGCAATTAAGTAATATTGGGAAGGAAAATTTAAGGTATTCCCCTCCACTTCCTACTTAAAAGTAACATATTCATTTTAGAAATGTACAGAAGGATTATGTATGGATTTTTTTTTCAGTTTATATATACAGAAATAGGGGGAAAGTCTTTGGGAATACATTTCACCTGATTTATTCTTGACTGTAGAGCTTAATCATTGGGACTGATATATATGCTGAATCCTGTCTCCATCTTCCGGCATGCTTATTACAAAGAAGCCTCTAAAATGGTGGAGTTAAATCAGTTGGTATTGCAATGATTATTTCATTTTTTTCCCCTTGGGTCCTATCCTTTCTCTGTAGGTTTAAAGTCATGACAGGTGCTAAGCAAACAGTGATGTGATGAGCAATATGTTCTTGTATTTGTGTTTCATATTTAAGGCCCAGTCCTGTGAGTTGTTGAGCATTCACAACTCTTTGCAGAAAATGAAATGGAGATGTCTAGAATCTTGCAGAATTGGGCCCTCTCTTATGAAGTCAGTAGGACTACGTCTGCACTGCAGCACTATTATTCTGCGTCTTTTGAGCACACTCATTATTTTGAAATCTAACGGGCTTGCTGTTCCAACATCCCTTTAAGCCACATTGCATGAGGCGTAAGACGTATTGGAATAGCGATTTATTTTGAAATAAGTGCTGTGTAGACAGTGCCAGATTTCAAAATACGCTATTTCGAAATTAACTCAAAATAAGCTATGCAATTTGCGTAGCTCAAATTGTGTAGTATATTTTGAGCTCTGGATGCATACTAGATTAGCCCCTTTCTGTCATATGCTCTGCCTGAATACTTGAATCAAGCATACGTGGTGTGAGGTATTACATAGCTACTCTGCCCTTCCCCAATCACTGTCAGTGGTGCAAGTGCTATGGAGGTGCAAACTGCTCAGTCAGCTCTTATTGCCAAACTTGTGATGTTTACTTTCCAAATGCACAGTCTGGTTTGCTATGTACAGTGGAGTGACTTGCATCTCTTCCTGACCATCAGAAGTTAGATTACCAAGCAGCCTGTTGTCAAACCACTTAGGAAGCTTTTTGACCTGTGGTGAAAAATAGGTGTTTTGGAAATAGTGGTGTGTTGGAAATTAGGGGTAGGTTATAGCTCAGTGGTTTGAGCATTGGCCTGCTAAAGCCAGGGTTCTGAGTTCAATCCTTGAGGGGGCTATTTAGGGATCTGGGGAAAATCTGCCAAGGATGGTACTTGGTCCTGCTGTGAGGGCAGGGGACTGGACTTGATGACCTCTCAAGGTTCCTTTCAGTTCTATGAGATGGTATATCTCCATATATTATATTTCCTCTGCAAGTATGCATATCAGACTCTCTCAGTTCACTTCATTCTTGTTTTGTTACATCTGCAGGAGTCCCAGGAGCTGGGAGGAGTGGAATGAACCGTGAGGGCGTCCCCGGGAAGAGTCCGGAGGAGATGTACATCCAGCAGAAAGTGAGAGTTCTCCTCATGCTTAGGAAGATGGGATCAAATGTAAGTTTAATGGAGTTCTGAAAAAATATCTGGACTTAACCAAAGGCTTCCTCTCCCAGTCATGGAATTTATGATTAACTGGGATATTCCCATTCCCTGTTCCAAGGGTTAAACTTCATTAAGTTCTTTTAAGGTAAGTGGAGGGGCCACATGCTCTGGAATTAACTCTTACAGCACAAAATTTGGCCCTATGTATAATGTAGAGGTTACAGCAACATAGTTATTGCATTGTAGCTATGCCAGCATAACCCCATAGTGTAGACACAGTTTACAGCATCAGAAAGGGTTTTTCCATCATTTTAGGAATAGTGCCTCTCTGAGCAGTGGTTGCTAGGTCAACAGAAGCATTCTTCCATCAGTGTGGCTGCATCTATGCAGGGCATTAAATTGGCATAGCTCGAGCACTCTGTTGATTTTTCATACCCCTAAGCACCATAGCCATTCATATTTAAATTTGAGCAGGCTATAGTCACCTTCAGTGCATGAGGGCTCGTCTGCACAGTGCTTTAGCCCTCACCAGAGGGTGTTCATTTTAGAGCATGTTAGCATTTTATTCACTAACTTGCCTCTGTGGATTCTGTTGATGTGCACCAAAAGTTCCTTAACGCAAGTTAATGTAGTACTGTTTGACATGGGACTTTTTTAATGCGTTTTGGGGAGCTTGTAGTGAAAAGCAGCAGGGCAGAGTCCATACAGGCTAGTTAGTCTGAACTGGCAAAACATTACACCCTTCTAGTTAGAGCTTGTCTATTTGGTATTTTACCCCTAACTTTCTAATTGCTGAAATAATGTTCATTGATATGGGCCAGGGGGTGGTTTCTTTTTTGAGTTGCTGCTTATGCCAAAAAAAAAAATGTGAAGGGTATAGTGGTTGAAATTAGGCCTGAACTTTTTTTTTGTGCATTCCAAAGTTTCTAAACACTATAACGAACTAGAAAATTAAAGGAAGTATTTATTGATGATAGCTCTCAGTTTAGTTTGTGGGTGGTTGGGTGAATAGATTTGTGTATTGGCCATTGTAGCTATAGCATTATATGAGCTGGGGTTGGATGAGATTCTAGGGGTGTTACTTGTAGTAGGAAACAAACCTAAATTAAAGTCCTTGTATCAAAGACCTGGTATGAGGCAGGATCTACTTAGAACATTTGGCAAGAACGAGCCGATATTGCAAAAATGCACATTCCTAAGAAGTGCTACTCACAGAGTACTTAACACAACCCGATATCAAGTGGTACCAGCACATCCCGAAATCAAGGATGGTACAAAAACATTCCCTCAAGGATAACAGAAACACACCAATCCCTCCTAAAAGATAAGTTGAGCATGACAATACATAATAAAAATGTTTTAATTGAACCAACATGTACAAGGTAATGAATGATGACTAGTCAGGGGACACTAACTACTGTAACTATGCCAGAGAGGCAGTATTAACACATCTTTATACCCCAATGCAAATCAATCTCGGAATATCTTTGTCTGGTCTAGGAAAGAACAGAAAGTCCCACTGTTCACTGAGTTGGTCCATTGTTATGGGCATACATGTATTAGTTGTCCAGAAGAGTCTGAGAGATACTAGTGTGGAAGTGGGAAAAGGGGATTTGTGTGCAGCCATCTTAGATTTTGTCAGTAGCAGAGCAAGAGTCAAGCTAAGTCTGTGGTCTGACAATCTAAGATGGCTGCACACAAATCCCCTTTTCGCCTTTTCCTGCTTGTTGACGATAAACCTGTCTGGGTGCCTTCATCTCTTAACCGAGCTTGTGGTCTTTGGGCAGTTTACTCAAGGTCTGCTATTCCAGTTGTCTATGCAGTGGCACATAGGGGGAACCCCATACATGGAGCCAAACATCTGTCAACATCTAACCACGCTGCCAACTGACTCATGGTCCAAGTGCATGTAGAGAGAACCAATTCTAGCACTAGAATAACAGGGTTACTGTGAATGTAGATATGGCTAATACACCTAAATTCGTATGTAGGTGTTTGTAGTTTTCATAATTTTTCAGGGAATTCAAATAGTCTTTATAAAACTTACATGTATAAATGAGTAAAAATATTATCTGATAAAGATATTGAAGTATGGATTTATCTTGCAAAAGTGGCTTTGTAAAAGCTGGATTGTGGAATTCTGTATTGATTGCGTCCCACTGATTTCTATGTAAAAGTCTATAATTTACTGAGTTGGCAAATAAAAAGCCTCTTCTAAGTGCAGCACCACAAATTTATCTTGGGCGCTAACAGTCAAACTAAGTTCTTTCCATCTTGGTTGTCATGAGCACTAATAGGGCACTCATAGCAGAGGTCAGAAAATACCTTCAGATGTACTGTACAATTACCACAGTTAGGTGTGAGCATTGAGGATATAAATCTGAAGACCGTAAAGAGAGGAAAAGTCACTCCATAAATTATTTTGATAGTCCATTTTTAACATGAGTTGGGGCTGTGGGACTGGTATTCTTGGCTTTTGAAGTGTGAGACTGAAAAATTGTAAGTACAGAATATGGTAGTAAGGGAGGAGTTGGGTCTAATTCAGCTCATATGCTTTCAATGTTACATTTAAATTGTACATGAAACAATATGGGAAGGCAGTGGTATTTGTCAGTAGTCTGTTTCCTGCTCTTCATCCATTAATTTTTTTCACATTTGCAGTTGACTGCCAGTGAAGAGGAATTCTTGCGGACGTATGCAGGTGTAGTGAATAGCCAACTTAGCCAGCTTCCTCAGCACTCAATTGATCAGGGTAAGTACCAGCAAAGGAAAGACTTTCCAGTGCTTTCAGTCAGTACAGTTTCTGTTTGCAAGTCAGTTTTTCCAGTTTGTATAGGGCTTTCATACAGCAACACTGGAAAGAAAAACACTTCTAAAAAAAACTTGAAGAAAAATTACTATAACCTTACCCTGCCTCAGATTGGCAAAACTGCTTCATAGTGGGGAGGTGCAGTACCTGAAGCTGGTTTTAACTCACTTCCAGCTGGTGCCCTTCCTGAGACATTTTAATCTGATGCATTTTTTTGGACGATGTACATGTTGAACAAAAAGGAAACCTTAATTCAGATAAAATGGTTAACCATTTGAAAGAGCAGTATCTCCCTGTGTGTGCCTGTCAGTTACTAGAGAAGTGATCTGATTTGGTTTCAAATAAGGGAGGCATCGCTTGTTAAGAACTGCAAAAGTAGGCTACTAGCCATTGTAATAAGTTGGTGCATCTTCAGTTTCTGAAGAGGGAAAAGCTGAATGATCTTTCCTGTCATGGACAGAACTTTTACATTTTGCTGCTTGTTCATGACTCTGGTCACAATCTACTTATCCTGGTGGATTTGTTTGCCCTCTCCCTGTCAGGTTTCTAGTCTTCTTAATCTTTGAGTACAATCTTGGTAAGTATTGAGTTAGGTACCTGTATCTGGATAATTACATTCCACCTACATAAATCCTTCCTGTCGTCTGAGAGAGAGACAGTTCATTTTCTGACCTAAACTGTGGAGGAGTGTTGCCATGCACTGTTAAATAGGTAGCTGCATCTGTGTGATAAGTGAAGTGAGTTCTGGATGTATTGGAGATCGTTTAGGATGAGCAGTTTTATGATAAATAGTATTGTTCCTTACTGTGTTATTGCAGTGTTGGTGCCAGGATATATGAGACACAAGGTGGGTGAGACCTGTAAGAGAGCTCTGTAGAGCTCCAAAGCTTGTCTCTTATTGAATCAACTTCTGTTCATGAAAAAGATGTTACTTCCAATTCCTCGAGTCTCTCAAATTATTCATGACTACTCAAGAACACTAAAGGTCAAATTCTCCTAATTGACTATAGGCCATTGAGCCCCCAATACCTTATGTTGATTCATATAACTGTGTTTTTTCTCTTGGACCCACAGTTGAGTTTCAGGCATGTGTGGGACACCCAATAACTCAGATTTTGCATTTACCATAAATGTTGTGGCTCATCTGCCTGAGCTAGCTATGGTCTGAATTTTGTCACTATACCTCTAGTTGAGAATGATCTGTGGACTGTGCTGTATGAGTTAAAGTGCATAAACTTTAGATAGAAATGAGAGATCCTGCTAGAATGTGAGTAAAACGCTTCTTTATTCCTCCCCATTCCTAAGGAAGTCTGAGCACTTCATGAGTTGTCTTCTCTCACTGGCCGTTTTACCTTTCTCGAAGTCTTCTCTGGTTGTAATAGTCTTGTGGAAAGATTTTCTGTTTTAAATGGTTAAAAGATTTTCCACAGTGTACAGTAGTGTATGCCCAGAATGGTAGTGCTTGTTGTCTTCAAGTGGTTGTGTGTGCATGTGCGTGTGTGCGTGTGCGCGCGCGCGCTGTATGCATAATTGTTGGAAGACTTTCCTAGCAGTACCACTCAGGTTGGCTCTTGAGCTCTTAGCAGTGATGCCTTGTGGCGTGGCACACATACCCCTGCTGACCCAACTCCCGCTTCAGTTTCTTCTTTACATCAGTGACGGTTGTTGGAGCTTCTGACTTCTTGCTTCGTAATAGCTAGTCCCTAGCATTTCAGTCTTTAGTTGTCTTTGTAGTGTAGATTAGTTGTTCGAGTTACCTTAGAATAGTTAGCTTGAAGTGGGGGGTTCTCTTCCTATTGATTGTGCTCCTGGGGCATTCAGTGGCCCCAATGTTTCAAGCAGCGTGCAAAGTGTGGCAAGCATATGCTCAGAGAGGGTCTTCATGCCACTTGCTTGAAATGTCTCAGAGGGGGTCATCTGCCAAACAAGTACAGAATTTGCAGGGGGTTTAAGCTGCAAACTAAAAAGAAGAGGGGCCAATAGCTTAAACTGATCTTCATGGAGCTGGCACTTAGACCTCAGCCAGCCACTCTGATGCCTTTGGTGCGCAGTGTGCTGGCCTCCATGCATGAGTCTTTGGTGCCTTGCCTCTCATTAAGACAGTACAGACCACAACAAAGTGCTGGAGAGGGGATAAGAGCACCTCTACAACCACCTGCTGCTGGACTCTGGAGGGGCAATAGAGGAGGTCCCTCGAGTTCAGGGGGGACAGGGCGTTTTAGTCTCAAAATTCCCTTATTCTGAAGGCAAAGGGAGCTCCACATCCCGTCCTAGATCTCAGAAACCTAAATGTGTTCATACGAAAGCTAATGTTTCACATGGGTGTCCCTGGCCTCAAACATCCCCTGACTGGATCTGGAGGACTGGTACACACCAGATCTCAAGGATGTGTACTTCTATATCTCTATCATCCCGGCCCACCGCCGTGTCCTCCATTTTGTGGTGGTGGGCCATCATATACTATTGTCTATAAGGATAAGGTGCATCAGCGCCCCCGTCCTGCCTTTGTCAACGGTGGTGTGTCGCCTTTTCACATCAATCAAGACATTTTTCTTCCTGTTTCTTCCCTAATCCCCATGCTACAGACAGGGATGCACTATACTCCCTGGATGTATAGCATGCCCTCCCTTTTTATATTGAGCACACTAAACTGTTCCACGGCTCAGCGCAGCTTTTAGTCTGTCATGGAACGTGTGATGGTCCTCCTGATTACGTCGCAGTACCTGTCCTCCTGGATCACTATATGTATCAAGCTGTGCTGTGACTTGGCCAAGGCACCAGCCCCACCTATCACAGCACACTCCACTCGGGTGCAAGCCTCTTCAGCAGCCCGATTCAGGACATCTGCAGGGTGTCCATGTGGTCATCTGTGTGCACCTTCACAGTTCTCTACGCCTTCACCCAGCGGTCATGGATTGATGTGGTGTTTGGCAGAGCTGTGCTGTATTCAGCAATAAGTTGAAGGTCAACCCTTCCTCCGTGCAGACTGCTGGCCAGTCACATATTGGAATGCACATGAGCACTCATTTGAATATGAAAGGTTACTTACCTTTTGTAACTGTTCTTCAGAATGTGTTGGTCATGTTCATTCCAATACGTGTGTGGATGCTGCGTGCACAATTGTCGAAAGACTTTTCCCCAGTTTTACCCGGCGGGTTGGCTGCAGCATCCTCTACAGCTGTGGTCCCCAACCCAGTGCCAGCGGCAGGGTGGGGCAGGTGCCAGCCCCAGGCGCATGGCCGGCCCCAGCCCCGGGGGCGCCGCGCGTGCCAGTGCCGACCCTGACCCCCGCCCCCGTGGGTGCCATGCCTTGCAGGCCCCGTGGAACCTGGGCAGCCCCTGCCCGGGATCACGGCACATGCTGGTGCCGACCTCAGGCATGCAGCACGTACTTGGTCCCGCCCCCAGTCACATGGCCTGTGAGCGGCCCCACCCCCGTACGCGCAGCGCGTGAGCAGCCCTGCCCCCTGGCGCCCGGCAGCCCCAAAACGTTGGGGACCACTGCTCAACAGTGATGCCTTGCAGTGTTGTATATATGCCCCGTCAACCCGGGTCCTGCTTCATTTTCTTCTTGCAAGAACAGTCCCACAGAGGGGAGGTGGGAGGGTCTGGAATGAACATGAGCAACACATCTCAAAGAACGACAGTTACAGAAGGTAAGTAATCATTCTCTCTTGTGTCTAATCCAGGATAAAGGGGTAGAGGCTGTTCATAGAACAATAATGAATGGAAATAGTTCATGACTTTTTAACTACAGGCAGTCCCCGACTTACGCAGATCCGACTTATGTCGGATCCGCACTTATGAACGGAGCTTTCTCGCCCCGGAGCTCGCAGGCAGCGATCCGCCACCTTGACCTCCGGGGCGAGAAAAACTGCTCCCGGTGCCCCTGGTTTGCTGGGGACCGTCTCCAGCAGACCAGGGGCACCGGGAGCGAAGCCGCAGCCACGGCGGGGGGCCGCGCCCCCTGGGGGTTTCCTTCGCTCCCGGTGTCTCTGGTCTGCTGGGGACCGTCTCCAACAGACCAGGGGCACTGGGAGCAAAGCCTCAGAAGCACGGCACCCTGCCGCCGCTGCAGCTTTGATCCCCATGTCCCTGGGAGGGGGGGGAGGGGGCGCAGCTAGTGTGCACTACTGGACCAACCCGGCAGCTCTGGGCACTACTGGACCAACCCGGCAGCACCCCAGCTGCTCTGCCCCAGGCGTCCTGATTCAGC